AGAAATAGAAGGGAGAAGGGAGAAGGAAGAACATGGAGTATGAAAGATCAGATATAATTAGGAAAGACTTAGCTGCTGTGGGGATTGCTCTAATGGACAGCCCAGATGGGACAACATGGAGACCAGCCGTACCTCTTGCAATTCAAGAGCAGCAGGTTTCAATAACTTAAATGGCTCCTGTTATCAGCATTGTTACAATTTGCCAGTATCATACCATATAGGATTAGGGTACTTACAATTTTCTTTCGTAAGGGATTCTGAAATATCGGTTTTGGGTTTCCAAATGTAATGATAGAAAAAGGTAAATTCAAGTCCAGGTTTGATAACCATGAGAAGAAGTTTGATTGAGCATTGATGAAGTTTTGGTGGCCATGTCTGGTTCCCAATTTTTATAGCTTGTCAATGAATGGTTTTCGGCTTTATCAACTCAGTTTACATATTTCCTCATCTGCTGATGCGTTTGAAATCAACGTTGTGAAACTTTGGATGTCTGTAAATACAATTTTGGGAATCTGAATACAGTGAATAGAGGAGCTACAAGACCAATCAGCGGTCCAACAGTAATGCCCTCTCTTTTAACACGAGAGCAAGGACTGCACAGAAATAGAAGGGAGAAGGGAGAAGCTTTAATATTATTCACTATGTAAAACAAATAATACATCCAATTCATCCAAAAGTATCCAAGCTATCACTCACACTCAGCTCAGCAGCTATCACCCAATGCAGTGGGCGGTCTAGTCAATCCGTTTACACTTAAATATAAAAATGAAAAGAAAACTTCTAGCCGATCTTCACATATAAAAGAATGATGTTGCAAATCCTTTGCAACCTTCAAAGCACCTTAGTGAAGCATAGATATGGCCATCATGCTCTGAACATTGTTCTGATGCTCGTGCAAAACTTGCATGACCAGAACAATTTCTCTTCGAACAAAAGATTATATCCCCTTGATCAAGTCAAAGAACACACCTTGTCTGGAAAATTGGAAGGGTTAAATGGAAATTGTCAACACAAGTTGCATCCATCAAGTCAAACATAACCAAAAGACCTAAACCTTAAGGGTATTCTTTTCTTTTTTTATAAATATTTTTTCTTTGGGGAAGGGGTTAAATCAATTTAAAGTGTCCTTTGCGTTCTATTTTAGTGTTTTCTTTCAAGCTAGAAGACCCGAAAACATCTGTACATTTGTTTATTTTCCCGTAATCCAATTACGAAAATGAGGTAACTTCAGTGAGCAGGATATGGGAGGTTTTTATTTGTTTATTTTTTTTTATAAAAACAACACAAAGCATGGAGTAAATTTACCTTGTCTAATGCTACCACAACAAAGGCGGTTGTCATCTATATACGTGGCTTGGATACCCATCATCCATGAACCCACTGATACATCATCATGAGCATAAGTCTTCAAAGATGCACTGCATATGAAAGTAAACAGAAATGAGACCGTGATTTATTCACAGGATAATGAATTGCATAAATAAGTCTAACAAATTCATTCTGATAGCTTGATAGCTTATAACGACATTTATATCCAAATAAAAATCTGTTTATAACATTCACAACAAACCTGTTTATGTTTATATACTGAGCTAAGTTCTTGGATAGTATTATGAGTGAACTACCTGCATGACGGAAATACCTGGAAGGAAAAAAAATTTGTGGAAATGATAACCAAATCTGAAAATATTAGCAACTAGACCAGTCCAGACATCACACACACACACACGGAAATACCTGGAAGGAAATTTTTTTTGTGGAAATGATAACCAAATCTGAAAATATTAGCAACTAGACCAGTCCATGTTGGCGAGTCGACATCACACACACACACACACACACACACATGCACAAGGCCCTAGTAAGTAGCAAATCTTTGGCCATCAGATTTTTTCTATGACCATGATTAAAAACTCAAATGACCTCCCTATTTAAACTCTTTACTAGAGCAGGATTGTGTGTGTCCGCAGTCTGTATCAAGTTATCAACACAGCATACAGCATGCAATGCCCATTAGATGCTGTTTTATTCAGTAGATTCAATCACTTACGATTTCTGATCCCCAAATTTCCACCAATCAGGCTCATACCAAGCCTTTCCCCTGCAAATTAAAACATTTTCAAAGTCAAAAGCTGCATCATAGTAACCTTATCAGCCTCAAGCTCTGCAAATAAAATTGGAAAAGTACAATCAAATTGCACAGAGGTGTAGGATAGTAAAGTACATACTCTTCAGAAATCACATCTCCTGACTTCATGCAACCGATATAAGCACCATCTTGAGCACGACGATCTTCAAGAAGTCCAATTAGCCCCTCTGTGTTAGGTCAGGAAAAGCTGTTGTAAATGATGTACAAAAAATTTCTGATAAAATTTAGTCTTGAATGCTCACAAATTTATGGGAAACGAAGCTCTACCAAGATCAAGATTGATATTGTCATCGACCTTGACATAAAACTCAGCATCCCAATTTTGAACTGCAGTACTGAAGAAGAACTTTACTTTTTTGGTCAACTCTTCTTGAGCCTCCTCATGACCTTCCTAATATAATAATAGCACATATTCAAACTCTATTTTTCACATTCATAACATCTTAAGTTATCCATATATAAGAGGTAACCTGCAACTACAAAAATGCAGAAATTTTGGTTTATTACAAATTATGAAGATAATACAATAAAAGCCAAATCATCAAATATCTATCACTTCGATTCTGTAAAAAATCAAAATCAAAATTTTGAAATATATTTTAGTTATAAAAAATTCCGAAGATTTTTAAAAGTGTTTTATGAGTAACATATCATTATATTACAGTTTTTTAACGACGATAATACTTGTAAAGCCTGGGGTAAAATATTGAACCAGATGTATTTTAATAACACTGAGATTTTATTGCTTACAAGAATCAAGAAATCCTTTGTCGACCGACTTTCCTTGTCAATATTGCGATCTAAGCTATCACCCTGATTGGGACTGCAAGTTCAAAGTGAAAAAATTATGAGAAGAGTGTCTCTATAGTAATTACCACAGTTAAAGCAGTTACAATAGTACTAATATTGGGATTAAAGTGCGAGGAAAAACCTCCGACCAATTACAAAGCGTATGACTACTCCTCTTTCTTCTAGTTTTCTCAAAGCATCACCTGCAAAGGCCGATAGGAAAATCCAGTAGTTGTTAGTAAACCAGTTTAATTATTCAAGCCACATGAGTGTAAGTATTAAGACTGATCAACAATTCATCTGAATTCAAGCCAAGCACACATTGTAAATCCGCATACGTTTCCATCAGAAATCCCAACTGACCTTTAGGCATCCAAGACCCTCTAAACATATTTCGGTTCAAATGACTACCAAATCCAGTATAAACTCCAATAACAGCGAGCAATTGGCCAGAAGAAGACACCTTTTGTTGCAAGTGATTCTTGAGGTACCCTTGACTCTTGGCCAACGTCAGGTCCATCTCAGCTTCAACAATCCTCCTCTCCAGGTCTCTGAACAACACTACCATTAATACCAAAACTAATACAAGGCACAACTCAAGTAATCTGATTCGAGGGAAACAAAAAGTAGGAGCATACTTGCATCCAAGGACTGCTAACTTGTCTTCAACTGAAAGAACCTTTGGTCTCTGACAGATGGACAGAAACATCACTAAAGTTAAATTGAATTCAAACAGGCATCATAAATTGTCACCATGTCATTTTGGTTGTTGGTTTAACTTAGAAAATGGAAATTGAACAAGAAATTTGAGTCTTGAACATTCTTTTCTTACCTAGAAATTGTTAAACTGAGCTGAATCAATGTCTTCCTAGGTCTAATGGTACAAAAATAAATAAATTAAAGTCTCAAATAAAAAGGTTTGAATGGAACCTGGCCTAAGTTCTTCTTAAGAAGATTAGCGAGTACTGTTCTGTTCTCTGCATCTTGCCACAACCTGGATGTCCCAAATAACAAGTCATCAACTTTATAATAACCATGCATTCTTAAAATGCTATCAAATCATCAAATTGTATCAGATCAAACAGAAAGCTGAGAAATTGAAACTCTACGTTTCAAATTAACCATGGCATTGGTTTAAAAATTAAAGCTGAAAGTTCATTTTTGAAACATTTCGTAGGCAATTAAGAACGCACCGGCCAGCGACGTAGAGCCAAGCGACGCAAGAGAAGAAGGCCATTAGGATAGATGGCTTGGACGTCTGAAGAGGCTTCGATCTCCATCGCCTCTCTGATTTCGTCGTTGTGGGTAAGCCTTCCATTTCAATTCTGAAGCAGTAGAGAGAGAAAGAGCAGCGCAATAGAGGGACACGAAATTTGTAGATGCAATTTAGTGGCTGATTCAGACAGAAATTATGAAACTTACATATTAGATTAAGCTGAATATGGTATGGAATCTGAAATCCAGAAACTAACTGAAGACCAAAACAAAAACTTTGAATTTTCAGGGAGAGAGAGAGAGAGAGAGAGAGAAAGAGATTAAATGGAGCGATTACTTTCTAGGCCCAACTAGTTAAATGTCCTGATTTTCTGTGAATATTGGGCCTCCAAATGGATTTGAATATTTTTGTTTTCCTAGGCGAGACCGAACTATATCAAATTAATTACGGTTTGGTTCGATTAGGTTTTTTTGATATAAGCAATATTGAGGAGAAGGGAAATCGAACTAAGACATCAAGAGCATTATAAATGCTTTTAACCACTTGAGCTACAAACCCTTGCAAAGAAAGGGCTCGACCAAACTGAACCAAGCATATTCATTTGATTTGAACGGCTCGACCAATTTTTTGCTCACACCTACTATGTAAAAAATTAAAGCACAAAAATGTCGAATTCTGTATGTTTTCTTAGCATACTAACGAAAATCCTTTTACGGTTGATTTTTGAGAAAGGAATTTAAGTTGAAGAATGAACTTTTTTTTTCTCTTGTCACCATTGATTATGGTTTGAATATGCAATCATAAATCACAATTTAAGATAACATACTAGACATCTGCGAAAAATTATTTTCATTGAATTGCAAATCTAACAATAAGCAAACAAAAACTAATACACTGTTAATCACGGCCTGCTGGTTGTCAGCATCACAACCCACTCAGATGAGACACCTAACTCCCAAAATGTTTACATCAATGTAAAACTGCATTATCAATACATAACTTTAAAAAGAAAAAAAAATGCATTGCTAGCATTGTAACATCAGGCTCTAAGCCAAAAAATAAAAACAAAAAGAGAGAGAGAGAGAGAGAGAGAGAGAGAGAGAGAGAGAGAGAAGTCCTGGCATCTCGTAATCTTTCTTGGAAAATCTTTCTTAACCATAATGATACACAATCTCTCAGCTCCTGAGCAGGAAATCAGAAGTCCACCTGAAGAGGAGGTTGATACTTCTCCATTTCAGTTTTTAACTCCTCGCAGCACCAGGTAACAAGCTCGCTAGCGATGGAACCCCTTGGTTTCTCATTTCTTCTTGTGTCCGCCTCATTTCTTCAGGATCTGTCGTTAACATAAAAAGATTGATTGAGTAACTCCGACAATGCGGGGATCAATAAGCATATTTAGTCACTGGCATGAGTATGAAGGGCATGTGTGATATCAACACAAATGGGATTCTTTTGAACAAATGCACCATAGGAAGTGATAAAACCGTAAGTGATCCACATACAGATGAAAAAACAACAATTCAATGGTAACAACCAAGTGTTTATAAATTTGTGTAAAGCCATCTAAGGAGTAAAAATTCAAAATTTACATGTCCAAGTCAGAAAAAAATATGGTACAGAAATAGTGTATGTATAAAAAGAGAATAGGATGCCGTCCCCATGAGTCATTTTGATGCAAGTAAATCTAAAGTAAACCAGAGTCTCAGGCCCATGGACGAAAAATTTAAAACATATACCAAGCATAGATCACTTACCCATGTTCTCCACTAACTTCGGCATCAGAAACACAACAACTACCATAAATCCAACCATCAGACCCATTGGGCTCTTTACAAGAGACATTATGGAGAAGGGTTCCCTTATCTATAATGAGATAAACATGACATGAGGTCAAAAATCCATAATGGTACAGAAATAGTGAATGTATAAAAAAGAATGTGAAAATCTAAACCAACCTCATAATACTGTTCCTCTCTCAATGGCTCTAAAACAAACTCATTTAGGCCCCTCCTATTTTCAGTCAGTGCTGCCTGAACCTTGCCTGGGTTTCTGGCACTAACATCAACTCGGACCTACGCAAGCATGGGAATATCAGATTTGTGATCATTTCATTTCAAGAAGTATAAAAGAGTTGATTTATAGATACAAGAATCTCACCGGAGAAAAGAAATAGCCTATTGCAGTGACTTCAATCAGATGAGTCCCCGCAGGCACATTATGGCTTTAAGTAAACACATTAAGGAAATATTGTATGCCTAGTAATTGGCATTTCATTTCATGAAGATATACTATAGTACATGCAATATCATATACATAAACATAAAGGCTGACACAAAAGATGGTATCAGAAATGAACTTATCATAAGAACGGAAATAGGATACAATGAAAAAAATCCATCAGGCCTCAGAAAGGTAACACTCTGACCAGCATTTAGTATGACTTTGACATTTGATGTTTTTTGGTAAAGGCCATATCCTTTCGCCCCCATACCTGAGGAGCAAATTCGTCAATAACGGGCATGAGCTATGCGGTTATATTATAGATGAGAGGGATGGTGAATGAACTAAATAGCAGAATGCAACCATTAAATAATTTTTTTCTTGGACTTGAAAAAATAGTGTTTCGAATCAATATTAGTGATTGAAAAGTAGAGGGTAATCCGGACTAACCCACCTAGAGCAAAGCACCAAAAAAAATTGAGCTAGTTCTCACTGATCAAATCAGGGTAAAACTCCTTAAGGCCACACATAAACTGATTAATTTAACCACACAAGCAGCCCTATTCCACAAGCCCCAATCAGATTTGACATGTATCCAGACATCCCAACACAAAAAAGCAATTAAAGTTAAAGTATTGCACAGCTTAAACCTTCCTTTTCCATTCAAATTCTCGATTTGAAGTAGTTTATCGATTGATTGACATGGAAAATTCACCATGACTGAATACAAGATTGAAACTTTGCCATTAAAAACAATCAACAGCAAGCTAATTTCATTTTAAATACATACTGTGGATCTTCACTCGACCATGGATGGTGTACCCATCAGTAGACCTGCAACAAATCATTTGAGCAGAAACATAAAAGAAATTAATTTCAAAATCGACGATGCATCGTTTGGGTAAAGAGAAGAACTTTTCAATCTTACCCGGGAGAAATTGCGAGCGACGAAGAGATAAGCGAAAAGCAGAGCTGTATGAAAAGCACGAGAATCACCGGTTTGGATCGCCAGCTCCGCGCCATAACAACAATGAAAGAGCTTCTGCGAGAGTTTCAGAGCGAGAGAGAGACTTGTTTGTTCGAAGAGTTTTGCGCGATCTGGTGTTACGCACTTAGGTAGATTAGTGTAGTAGAAGCCAAATCAGGCCCGTATACTATATGGTATTCTGATTCAAATCGGTTTTGTTTTATTTTTATTTTTAAATTACTAATTAAACTAGTATATATAATAAAAAAGATAAATCATTTTCCCATTCCCTTTTTATCCACCTATACTCCATTTTTCTAAAAAATACTAATTAATCCTTTTTTTTTTAAACTGAAACGAATTGCTAGTGTTTGTTTGAGCAGGCCTATAAGCATCCTATGGTAATTTTCGAACTCAATTAATATTTTTTTTATAAAAAAAAAATCCCTAGCTAAAACACTCATGATTCAATTCTTAGTTCTAAGTCTTTATCTTTTTGTAATTTCTATAATAATAAAAATCTGAATTTATGCTAGTAGCCAGCAAGTCATCCATAAAAAATTAGCTAGCCCACTCTTTGAAAATTTCTGACTCCGCCCTTTGACAAGCTTAAAAATGTTAGCAAAAAATTTGAACTCTTATGTAGACTTTTTCCTTGTGTTAGCAATGTTGGATTTCTTTTAGGGAGATTCACTATTATACCCAATATATGAGTCCAAATTAAAATATAAAAAAAACCTACATGAAATAGACTTTAGAAACACACTCAAAGCCTATTTACAATATAACAAAAAGGCTTTTAACTTCTTTTAAGTTACAAAACTGCCATTGATTTCTTAAAACAAACCCAACCCCAAAATCTCATAAAAAAAGACCCAAAACACTCAATAGAGTATCAAAGTAATTTAATAATCAAAATTAAATTCAATAAGGCCAGCTGTCATTTTTTAGATTTTTGTTTGTTTGTTTATAGAAATTAAATGATGTAGCGTTTATTTATAGTTTTAGTGCTAAGAAGGGGTATATGACTAAATATCTTTTTTTTTTAATTATCCAAATCCTATACTAAAAATTCAAAGACTAATTTGTATTTTTTGAGCTATACAATATGGAAGAACTATTGAATTTCTAATAGACGATTTAGATTAATTGTCAAGACAATGGGAGGAGGTGTGATAATATAAAAATTATTTTTTAGGTAAAAGGAATTGGGAAGAAAAAAAAAACATTGAGAAGGTGCGTAAAATGAGATTTTTTTTCAACCCAAAAGGTTTATTACATACAGGGCTCACACTCAAAGCTGATGATGGTGAAAAGACAAACCTCACCCCCAGAATTGATTTACACAGAGTAGGATACAACATTATATTTTCACCCTCACTTTCCCTCCACACAAACCAACCACCCATATTGAGGAGAAACTTCATACAACATTATATTTTCACCCTCACTTTCCCTCCACACAAACCAACCACCCATATTGAGGAGAAACTTCCTTACTGGTAAACTCAAGAACTTGACAACCGATCAGAGTGGAAAGAGAAAAATTGGCCCCATAAAAGAATCAGAATTGCCAAACTAAGCAAGTAGTAGTGTTCAATAAAATGCTATAACCCCAGTTTCTTCGAGAACCAATCTGAAAGATTTGCTATCACAAATCCTGCAAATACCTGCAACATACAACAAATGCAACGTAAAGAGTTCATAGATGCAACATGACACATGTTTGAATGTGTATCTTGTGCATCAGACAGCATTGAATGAAAAACTTGGTAATATAATATAGAGACCTAGACATCATTTCCTCCAAAAGCGAGTTAGAAATGCTAAAATATCTGAAAGATTTGCTATCACAAATCCTGCAAATACCTGCAACATACAACAAATGCAACGTAAAGAGTTCATAGATGCAACACAAGTTTGAATGCGTATCTTGTGCATCAGACAGCATTGAATGAAAAACTTGGTAATATAATATAGAGACCTAGACATCATTTCCTCCAAAAGTGAGTTAGAAATGCTAAAACGAAATGCCTTCTTGAACAAAGTTTTACAAAGGTACTACTAACTACTAACTACAGATGCTATATGCATAGTTATGATAATATCATACCTGAGCAGACCCAAGTATGTAAACTGCTGAATAATGACGGCCGTGGATGAACATGTCAGCAACCATAGCGAGGGGGATGGTGAGCGACATGCCCAAGGTGGCCACCAGTGGAGTTGTCCACACAACACATAGCGCCCTGTAGGAAGTTTTTTATTATTAGCCAAATAGAGAAGTGGGAGTTTAAAACATGTGACAACTCAAGTGTGGGAATCCCAGATTGAAAAAAGGATTGTTTTAACATACCAGAAGTAGTCTGAGAGTACACTTCCAACAAAGCCATTGGCAATAACAACTTCTTCCAATTTAGCAGAGTGAGGAATCGTAAACTTGGGTTCAATGCCCAATGCTGTCAATGGCCAAACTGGAGAAATAAAAAATAAAAAGAAGAGAAAAACAAGATTATTCAGTCAAGAAGTGACAGATTGCCTTTCCTTTTTAAGAACCTCAGACATATTTCCACCAAGCTAGCACTGTGCCTTGCTTGATTTCTAGATATCATATTCACAAGGAGAAAAACTGAAGTAATGCCATAAAAATAGCCTCTTACTGTACCACTTATTACAATTAAAAAAAGTAAATTCCTCTTACAGACAGGCTATGTAGAATAGCATAGATGCTTTTGCATTCCTATGTAAAGTAGAGCAAAAGAACCCAGATGACTGGGGACATGGAAACCATTGTGTGCATAAAGAACCCTCTTCGTGAACTTTGGTAATTGATAGTTGAAAGCATTAAATCTCAAGCAACACTTACCAAGCCACCATAATGCTACAAGTGTAAAAAGTCCAATGTACCCAAACAACTTTTGCACATCAACCCTTTCTCCTCCCTCACCAGCAAACTTTTTAAGGAGAACTATATCATTAACAGTAAAATAAATGTTAATACTAATGTCAAAATAATTTAGGAAAAAAGAATGCCAAGATATAAATGAAAACATATATTTCCCAACCAGTAAATAGACCATATGACATGGCTGAGAGAAGGCCAAAAAGATCTCCAACAAGAGAGCGTTTCCCATTGCTGAACAAAAATATTAACTGTCAATGCCAAAACATGCATTACATAGAGCAATTTGATGCATAATATCGGGAACAGATGATATTGGTATGTAAAGAGATATGTTATCTTCCATCAAGGAAGAGACAAATAAAATGGAAGTCAACAATAATTTGGATGTCAGCAACAGAGATGGAGTAAAAGCTTACGCAGCACTCAGTTGTGACTCATCTGTAGCCCAAGTTTTGCCCAGAGTTGTCATGGCTACACCAGCCATGCTGACAAAGACAGCCACCACTTTTGCTATATTTAAAGAATCTTCACCCAAGAATGCACCAACGAAAAGAGTAAAGAGTCCTGAAGTCGAGGATAATACTGTTGTACTTGCAACACTTGTGCGTGCAAGGGCAGCATTTGAAAAATACTACCAAACTTCACCCAAGAATGCACCAACGAAAAGAGTAAAGAGTCCTGAAGTCGAGGATAATACTGTTGTACTTGCAACACTTGTGCGCGCAAGGGCAGCATTTGAAAAATACTACACAAAAAAAGAATAAGAATTTTCTTGATGTCCTTCACACTGATTTTATATTATCAATTCCACAAAAAATGAATAGACCTTTCCACGAAATGCATCTCATTAGACAAACACATATATATGTAAAATTTCATGTCTGCAAGGAAATTTCTGGGACACGTGTAACACTTCAAATTCAATCGAAATGTATTCTTGAATAAAGTAGCTTTAGGAAGTTCCTTACCTCTGTAAAAAACCAGAGAGGGGCAATGTAAAACCCATAAGTAGCAATTTGCCTTGCAGTAACCTCTTTATCATGTTTCGGCACAGTTAAATCATCTTTGTATTTAGAAACCAAAGGTATTGCTTCTGCACAAGGTGAAAGGTCTGCATCACTGTCTTTTCTGGTCAAGGACCCATGAATTTCCAATTCAAAGTCTTTCTGCCCTCCATTGTGTTTTAGAGGAGAACTAAATCCAGCAGAAAACTCATTCATACTTTCTGCATTTTTACCACTTTTAGAAGAGCGACGTTTTAGTAAATTACACAACCAATCCTTAATGAATGCTATTGGGATGTATACTACCATAAGAGAAGCTCCAAGATATGTTACGGCAAATGGCTGCTTATAGTCTGTAAATATATCCTGTAGAGACAGTATTGGTCAGCTAGAACCTCAATAAGATATAGAGCGTGGGCACTGCACACAGTATTATTAAATATATAAGTAAATACAATGCACCGTATCATAACATAGAATCAAAGATTTTCTATAGCTCATGAATAAATTTTCTGGCATCTCAACACAATGATATTAAGGGAAAGAAAAAAAAACCCTTATATCAGATCCCAATAGATTGGCAATCAAAGTCTTATATGCAGAAATATTTCGCTTGAAGCAATTAGACACAATCTTCTGCTAAAAGGGTCTCAATTCCATGTAGCTTTCAGGAAGTAGCTTGAGTTTAAGCAGTTATCAGCTCTCCCATGGTCAAGATGATTAAATAGTCACAATTGTTGACTCACTTCAACAAAATAGTCATAATTGGTTTACCAACTAATCATTTAAAACGCTCATTACTAAGTTTGAGATGATGCATGGTGACTCGAAAGCAATTAAACATGTAGCGTGTTCGGATTGAACTTAATACCAACCAACTAAGATGAGGCAATAACAGAAAAAGGTTAAATCTTAGCTGGTGTTTTCTTTGGTATGTCCTTCAGTCCCTTAGATACCAAAGGTGACAGATGACTGTGCTTATGCAACTGAATGCTAGTTCTGTTCTGGAAAATATTATATTTACAGTGTTCCTCGAATGGGTGAAGCTGAGTGCTTTAAATAAATTCAAGCAAACATCCAAACTTCCATTATATGAATAGCTTCTCTTCCTTTCTAGAAGAGTTCAAAGACAAAAGCTTTAGCTAGCAAGAGCACACAATTGGGTACAAATCCATATCAAACTCCAATCTTTTCATGAAGCCTAATAACCCATAACCCATCAGGCAAAAAAAATAAAATACAAATCACATTCATATTTCACCCAAAACTCCAA